TTTTATGACATGTTAAATACGTATTCCACTTGGATACTAGCTATTTACCTTAAGTTGCTGACAACTCTGAAATCTATTTTACGAAATCAGTAATACCGAGACAATCTTGTCATTTGATTGGTAAAACCTAGGCCACCAATTGTGCGGACGCCTTCCGTTTTATTTTTAAATTTGTAGCAGGCTTTTACGCTTAAGCCATGTGAACTTGAAAGCATTTGGATTCAATGCTACGAGCGCTCTGTATTTACATGTGAAATTGAATACAATTCCTTAAGGACTTTGCCACATAAACATAACAAACAACATACACAAATACGTGTACAACGTAAGAGCGTTCCAAAGGCATCCTGTGTCCAACTGACCCCTCCCACCTGGCTCTGGCAATGGGAAGGCACCTTCCTCCTCATATCCCAGATTCACACTCAGGGAGTTCACTGCTGGGACGGGCGTGGGTCCACACAGGAGTGCACCCACGTGTGGGCGCTCATTCCTTCAAAGACGACGCTGGACGTGTGTGATGAGAGTTTCCTGAGATGTTCTTGTCATATATATTTTTAAAGATCGAATGGTAAATGAAACATTTTTTTAGACCTAAACTTTCATTTTTGGTTTTTACCAGTTGGGCCCCTGGAAAACCTCAAAAGATACATCCATTCTTGTAAAACCTGATCTGGAACATCAGTTTCTGTACAGATTAGTCTTCCATGTTTTTTACATACATGTTATTTGTACTAATATTCAAATTATGAATTTATTATAGTTTAATGCTCTTGAAATGACATGTAGTCATAAGTTTATCTTAAATGACTGTGTACGATAGAGAAATTGTCACCTACCTCTATCGTAATGAACTGCTATCGAGTTATTATAGGTATTTTTCTTTTTTGCCATTCATATTTATGAAAATTGCTCCCCTGACTTTGAAACCTGACCCTTTGCCCAGAGACAAGTGTCTACGGGCACGGTCCCTGAGCCGAGAGACCCTGGGTCACAGTCCCGGGACCTGCAGGCTGAGGACCGGCCTCATGTCTCAGCCCACGCCTGCCCTCTGCTGTTGACATCGGGAAGTGCAGCTTCGACTCCGGGCAGCGCGTCCCCGTCCCATCGCGGC